TTTATTTTTTATTGATTCTAACCTCGGGAACTATGTTTGTAGAAGGAGACGGTAGATTCGGAACAAATGTATGTATTTGTGGCAAGAATTTTATTGCTAAGAAAATAAAAATCCCAGGTAGTCACGAAGGCCATTTGAGAGCTAGTAATGCTGGCCGGTGTGTACACTCAAAGAGCATACGCAACTGAGTTACGCAACTAGATACCGGGCCACATCAAACCTCAAAAAAAAAAACTGTTTAGAAACAGTTATTCAATAGTTTTTTGGAGTACGAGTGATCAAAATGTAAGTTATATATTTTCATTTTATAGACTGTTTGTGAGTTGGTAGTAAAATGTTACATTTAAACAATAATTAACGCAATTACAATGGTATGATTAAAATTCTGTTTTTTTAAATGTATAATTATAGTCTATATAGAATTCTGTAAAAACTACTAACCCCATAATTATGTCGTTATTAATCACAACTAAACTATCCATTAACAATTATTATGTAAATACCACCGAAGGTTAATGACCTAGCTGTTAAAACCTTTATTTTAAATTAAAAAAAATTACAGTCTACGTTATATAGTTATTTCAAAACAATTGACTGTAATATAAGCGTTATGTTATGAAAAAAAAGAAAAAATTGTAACGAATAAACATTTAAAATAATATAGCAGTATTGCGCCAGTGACTTTTTATATGTTATCAGAAAATATTTAAAAAATGATCAGTTTATCATCTTTAAATAGGAAATGAATCATAATATATAACTGATCAACATAATGTTGATGTAATTGTTTTTTTAATTCATAAAAAAAAAGGGTAAGTCGTGGATGTCGCTCTGCTGTACAGTATAAATTACAAGTGGGTTACTGTAATGGATGGAATTAAACTTGAATCCAATGATATTATATCATTGTATACGGAAAACGATTCTGAGCGGAGACGGTTTATCTTTCTAGGATATATTATAGATTATTAAAAATTATCATATCTTAGATTTAAAAAGAAAAATTTCTATGAATTTCTATATAAGATAATTTGAACATTGCCGTAATTTTTACGTATTTAGTCAAAATATGAACTTATAAAATTGCTTATAAAAAACAATTGTGACATTTTATTTTTCAACTGCTATTGTAACAATATGTTAGGTGTTTTGAAATAAATTTTCAAGCTTTTCTACCCAATAAATATATTTTTATCGATATTTATAGAAAAAAAAAACTAAAAGAGTTGAAAAATTAAAATGTCATAAAATAGCTCAAAACAAATCAAAATATTTTGAAAATTTTATCAACTATTTAATATATCTATATAAACATTCRATGAAAATGTCATGTGTCGATGGTCATTTGTTTTAAAGTTACATCAAAAACAAAAATCGATTTTGTCGAAAATTGATTGTGAGTAAAAATTCCCGTTTTTTCCTTAATTTTTAGTTTGATTATCCCAACTATTAAGAAAAATATTGGGAATTTTTGACCCTCCAAAGTACCAACTAGATTCACTTTCTGATCAAACGAGGTACCGAAGTCRAAAATTGAAACACTTTTACTGTCCCAAAATGTGATGACAGATACAAAAAAAATAACTCACTCATCATAGTAAAATCAATACATTCCTCACTCCGCTAAGAATCTAATATATATATATAAAAGTATTCTAATATAAATTGTACAGTCGTATTAACAATTTATCGTTTATATCGGACTATTGAGATAGAAGTGACTAATACTATTGAATAATATTAATTATAACTATTTACAAACAGAAATGATTGATATTGTCCAATTACTTGAAAAAATAAATAGTTACTAGGTATTATTGTTAGAAGTTAATTTATATCAAAGAAAATCATGTACCTATACAACATCATTTTTTAGTCATATTCCGTAACTAATTATTATGAACCTACCTATTAAAAAAAAAAAACACAATTTACTTTTCGATTGAGATTTGCAATGAATTCTTCGTGTTCTATCGCAAGAATTTGATTCAAATTTACTCGTAATTCTGCCATGACGGTCCTAATTGCATTGTCGCTTTCATCTACAATTCTGAACATCAAGTAGAAACGCGTCAATATACATATACTTATGATGAATATATGTTAGTATTGAATAACATTTTGTCATGCTATACCTCGAATTGAAATATCTTTGGGAAAATCGGTCGTTGGATGTCAGTTCAATATCCGTTATACGTTCTTGACTAAGCTGGCTCATAAGATTTTCTATATCTGTGATAAAACGATCCAGTTTTGCCATCTCGTGACCTAAAGATGGAGCCGGTGCAGCTTGTTCTTCTCTAGCAATGTCACGCTCTATTTTTTGATATGCTTCGATTTCAGATTCTCTAGAACCCATTCCGTTATCCTATACATGCACATAAAACAACTACATAAACATAAAACAACTACCTAGCAAATACTTTAATCTTATTTGACCGTCAAGGAAATCAAATAGATAACTATAGTAGGTCAATATTTTTAAGTCTTAAAGAAAAATTTGAACATGAACTTATGATGAATCTCAGCTGATTTAAAAAATCTAATCCTATATATCAGGAGTCGCAAAATGACGGCTTAAGGGTCAAAAGCGGCTGGTGAATTAATTTTATCAGGCCCGAAAACAAAAAAAAAGTAAAAACTGTTAATGTTATACGTTCTAGGGTTGTAATTTATAATTTTTGATCATTGGTTTTTATTTATGTCTGTAAATTTGATGGCCCACGAACAATTTCCAGATTTTTAATGTAGCCCTTCAAAAATATTAATTGATTATCTCTGCTATATATTATTATATACAGCTAATTAAGAAGTGATTTAGTAATTAAAATTAGTTATAGTTTATAACTAATAATTTTTAATTTTAAAATTATTTAAAGTTAAATTTAAACATATTTTATATAGATATAACATAGGCGTACATTTAATTTTGATTATAACGATTGCATACATAAGAATATATTCAATGATTCAATAATATACCTAATAATATATTTTAATACTATTAAATGTTCAGAATTCTTATATTGATAAATTGTACGGCGTAAAGTATAGGCAATATAGGTACGTAATGGTGCTATATTATAACAAAAAGAAA